GTATATAAAACCTAAAAAACATTATTTTGTTTCACATCCTCCACATGCAAAATTTTGTAAGGCTTAGCAACCTTTGTCAAGCAGCAAATTAGTTCAAAGGATGTAACTGGAAGAGATAATTGTTTGCTTTACTTCTTTATACTGTTCTATGTTTTAAGAAAAATAAGCTTAAGAACTTGTTTGTGAATAGTAATAATGTATATACATGTATAATGTCTAATAATTGAAATGTGACTGTATTTTACAAAATACAAGTCTACTAAAACACAGCCAAGACAGGTCACTTTGTAAAGACTAAAGGTTGGTTTTATATTATTGGATATGGTGACATGAGTGCACGTGAGCCACGTCATTGTAACTTCTGTATTATTAGCCAGGCATGACTGAAAGGTCGATATAATAAATAGATATATATATATATATATATATATATATATAAATGTATAATGTTATGAGATTTTAAGCTATTTAGGCTAAAGATTTGTGTTTTTGTGTTATACTTTGTAGTCATTCCAGAAGGAAAAAGGCATAATTTATAGTCATTTCTTAATTTTTTATGGTGGTTATGAGATTGGTCAAATTGACCAAACCTATACAGAGATTCATTAGTGAAAATAACAGATAAAATATAAAGTTTTTTCTTAAGAAATGTTTGATAACTATTTGGATGTTATAAAGATTTTGCATGTGAAAATTGAAAATTTATATACATTACTTTCTATGTTGGATGGGCAACATGTAAAAAGAAAAAAGGCATGAGAAAAACATTGCTTTTCAAAGCTTTATAATGTTTACTGATAATCTGCCAAATTTCATTAACATTCATTTACTAATGTAAAAGTTATAGTATGAAAACTATAACAAGCACAAAATGGTTATGAAGCCATTCCCAGGGACCGAGTTAAACCATTGACTGCTGATTTACTGTATAGTATACAGTCTACCTCCGGCAGTTGAATGTGAATGTACTGTACACTGTGTATGGCTGGTACACTTAACATTTAGAGCAGCTGCAGTCAATAGGTTAAAAAGTTTAAATACAGGGTGAAACAGGAATTACTAGCCAATAATAGATGAACATTAGATGACTGTAATGTGTAGATACTCAATGCTTTGTACACTATACAATTAGTGTCTTTAGGGAGCCAACTCCTATATAATATAGATGAAGTGAAGGAGTAAAAAAAAATCAATACACATATTACATTTTATTACACACATTTGCAGAATATTTGTTGTAAAAGACACAAAGGTTTATTTAAAA